CCTGTGTACCAAACAAACTAAATTGTATGATATTCTTACTTTTTGTTATATTTTGTTCTTCATAATTATTTACTGAAATGTCTCTCTACCGCGCCTTCCTTCCCATTACCTCTATTCCAGGATGTGCAATTCTATAAATCTCAATAAGTACTTGTTGCAGCAAGGGCGAATGCAGTGTTCAACCGACGCGTTCAATTGAACTCATAGCTTTCAACGCAGAGTAAAAATTTATATATAAAAATTCATTACAATTGCAAAAATAGTAAATATGAACCAATAACTTTAAAATAATAATAGGTTCAATGCTAAAAACTTTGAAAGTTGAACCCATAAAATTTAAATCTTGAATCCGCCTCTACTTGTTGGAGAGAACTAGAGATGGAAGTACTAGGATAAAATGACAAAAATAGCCCCTTATGTTTGGGATATGTTCAAAATGGTCCCTTAAATATAGTTTGAGCAACTTTGATCGCCGTCCAAATAAAATTGACAGCAGGTATCTGTATGACCGTATATATGTGTTTCCAAATTTTCGGGAACATAAATAGTTTGATCTTATCAGTTGCCTCATCTCTCTCTTTATTTCGACAGTATAATATTGATTTACTTCATATTCTGGGAATTCACCTTGTTAGAATGGGCCCAGTGGGAATAGGCTAATGTTAGACCCGTTATATTGGACCAATTGTTGTAATTTATCTGGGTAGCCCAGTTTAGAGGTAATTACTTACCGGTCTTATAAATAGATTAGGCCCAGTTTTTGTACACAACGATTTTTTCATTTCTCTGGCTGATACACAGAAATATCTCGAAGTTTCCTCTTAAACCAAAACATGAACCCTAAATTTCATTCTTCCGATTTCACATAATTTCTATATGTTTATATGGTATCAGAGCGTAGATTCTGGTGTGTATCTCTCCCCGCTTTTGATCGATCCTACCCTTGATGATTTTAGTCGACATTTTCCAATCACGACAGTGATTCCTGTATCTACGATTTTTAGGGTTTCTGCCAAATTCAGAGTGTTTCTTCCGATTTCTATCTACTGAGGCTATCTGTGGTTTGTTTCTGAGAAGCAAAACACTAATTTTTGGAAGATTTCGTGGATTCTTCTCAAATTATGGGTTTTCCGTCCACCTAGGATTTCCTCGAAGCTTCGACTGGTATATTTGTGGTCAATTTTGAAGGTTGTTCTCTTTTCGGTTGCAAAAGAGGGAGTAATCTCGTTCATTTTTACAAATCTTCTTCCATGCTTATTGTTTTCTGTTGATTTTCATTCACTTGCCTTAAAATGCCAAACGAAACTTTTGTATGTTCTACTCCTGTTTCTCGCACTATATTCCACAAGGATGGCTATACACATCCTTGCCATCCTCTGTATGTTCATCCAACAGATGTGTTAGGTACTTTTCTTGTTTCTACTCCGTTTGATGGAAATGGTTATGGTAGTTGGAGAAGGAATGTCCTAGTTGCCTTGTCGATTAGGAACAAACTTGATTTTATCAATGGGAACTTTGTGACCTCCAGATGGTTCTCTTCTTGTTAGACAATGGCAGCGATGTAATGATTTGGTTGTCTCATGGTTGACAAATTCTTTGTCTAAAGAAATATCTCGAAGTGTAGAATATTCTGAATATGCTAAAGATATATGGTCAGAATTGGAAGAGAGATATGGAAAGGCATATGGTGCTAGGGTATTTGAACTTAAAAAGGAACTAGCTCATATTTCCTAGGGTTCCTTAGACATAGCATCTTACTTTAACAAAATTAAACAATTGTGGGATGAGATAGCATTTTATCGAGTAAGGGTTTGTACTTGTGGAGGTAAAGCTGCTGAAGATGAGGAACATAAAGTATATCAATTCCTTATGGGCCTCAATGACACTTATATGCAAATTAGGAGCAACATAATAATGATGAAGCCTCTACCTTCTATTGAAAACACCTACAACATCATTTTGTCTGATGAAAAGCAGAGACAAGTCTCCTATATATCTCATTTTTCAACTATTTCTGCAACTTTCAATGCTGGCACATCCAAGCCACTTTTCCCTTCCAAGGTTTCCTTTGACACTCCTAGACCTATTGTCACTTGCAAGTATTGATAAAAAACTAGACACACCATAGAAAAGTGTTATAAACTACATGGTTTTCCTCCCAACTTCAAGTTCAACAAAGGACCTCCTCCTCCTCCTCCTCCTCCTCGTAGAACTGCTGCTCATGTTGAGACTACTAAACCTAATAATTCATCTGCTCATTGTGATTCTGGTACTACTGATGGGTTTGGTGTTACTAATATTTGTACTATGTCTGGTGATCAGTCCTCTGCCATCTCAGGACTCACCAAAGAACAGTATTCTCAACTGATGATGATGCTTCAACACTCACAAATTTCTGCTTCCAACTCTGCTGCTACATCTCAAGAACTCATAGGTTCTGTCAATTTTGTTGGTAAGCTCTTACCTTATAAATGGGTTTCCTATGGGGCTTGTATATTGTCCAAAGTAAATGGCATTGTCTGGATAATTGATTCTGGAGCTACAGACCATATGACTTCTGTTAAAGTCTACTCTTTGACATTCAAACATTACATGTCCCTTATCTTGCTTCCTTACCAAATAGATATAAGGTCAAAGTTACTAATGTTGGTTCTTTAGCCTTATTTCCTAATCTAATTCTCCACAATGTTCTTTATATCCCTAGTTTTCAACACAATCTCATCTCAGTCTACAAAATGTTGTCTCATTGTGATGATGTTGTTCAATTTACCAAGAATGCTTGTACTTTACAGGGCCCTTCAGTGAAGAAGCCAGTGATTCTTGGTAGATTGGACAATGGCCTCTACAAGTTATTTCAATAAGCCAATTCTCAACCTTTTACTAGTTATGTTTCCTTTAATTCTTGCTTTTCCACTTATTCTTCTGTTCCTGCAGTTTCTGCTGATGTTAATGTTGATAGTACAATTGTAAATACCATTGATGTTTCTTCTAAAGTGAATAAAGATGAAATTGTGTGGCATTATAGACTTGGACACATTCCTTTTTCAAAACTGAGACTTATTTTTGCTATTACTTGCAAATTTTCTCCTAAACAATCTTTTACTTGCCCAGTATGTCCTCTAGCAAGACAAGCCAGATTACCTTTCCCTGATAGCTCTATTCAGACTACTCACCCTTTCCAACTTATACATATTGATACTTGGGGACCCTACCCTACACCAACCTACACTAGCTCCAAGTATTATTTTGACAATAGTTGATGACTACTCTAGGGTAACTTGGACACATTTGTTAGGATCCAAAAGCAATTTTTTTGACATGTTAAAAGCTTTTGTTGCTATGGTTGAAACACACTTTAACTCTAAAATCCAAACAGTTAGGAGTGATAATGCTTTGGAATTGGGTTCTAGTTCTTCTGGTCATCAATTCTTTTCTGCCAAAGGGATAGGACATTAAACTACATGTCCTCACACTCCTCAATAGAATGGAGTAGTGAAGAGAAAGCATAGACATCTATTAGAAACTGCAAGAGCTCTTCTCTTTCAATCCCGTCTTTCCCTCAGTTTTTAGGGGGATTGTCTCCTTACTGCCACTTATCTTATTAATAGGTTTCCTTCTCCTCTACTTCACTATAACAGTCCTTATGAACTTCTGTATAATAAGCCTCCCCTTTACTCCCATCTCAGGGATTTTGGATATTTGTGTTACTCTACTATCACCAAACCACACAAAGACAAGTTCCACTCTAGATCTTTTCTTTGTGTCTTTATAGGTTATCCTTTTGATAAAAAGGGATACAAGCTCTATAATTTAGCCACTAAAGTCTGCTTTGTATCAAGAGATGTAGTGTTTCATAAACATGTCTTTCCTTTTCTCAGGTCCTCTTCTCCTTCTACTCCTTCTTTTCTTTCCCCTTTACTCTAATGCTTTGATGACCTGCCTTCTTTTCCTACTCCTTACTCCTTTTCTTCTCCTTCTTCTGACTCCATTCTTGTTTTACCCTCTCCTAATGTATCTCATAGTCTGCCTTCTTCTCCCTCCCCTTCTTATTCCAGTCCTTCCTTTTCCCTTTATTCTCGCATTCCTTCTCCATCCGTTCCTTTGAGGAGGTCTGATAGGCCTCACAACCCTCCTAGTTATCTTCAAGACTACCTCTGCAATACCTCAATTTCTTCCATAATTCACAATCCTGCTTCTGCTCCTAACACTGTCATCTCTAGTCTCCTTCACATCCTTGAACCTTCCTGCTATTCTGAGGCTGCAGTCATACCTGAGTGGCAGGATGCCATGAGGGAATTTGAAGCATTGGAGGCCAACAAGACCTGGGATATTGTTGCTCTTCCTCCTGGTAAGAAGCCTATAGGATGTAAGTGGGTGTACAAAGTTAAGTATAAAGCAGATGGTAGCATAGAAAGATATAAGGCTAGGCTAGTTGTTAGGGGGAGACCCACAGGTTGAGGGGGTGGATTTTCATGAGACCTTTTCCCATGTTGTTAAAATGTCCATTGTCAAAACTTTGATTGATGTAGATATTAAGCATCAACGGCCAATGTTTCAACTTGATGTTAACAATGTCTTTCTTCATGGTGATCTTGATGAAGAGGTGTTCATGAAGCTTCCTCCTGGGCTTTCTGTTCCTACTTCATCTACTTCTGCCCCATTGGTTTGTAAACTTCTGAAGTCTTTTTATGGCCTAAGGCAGGCCTCTAGGCAGTGGTATGCTAAATTGTCCCAGGCATTGTGTTCTAGAGGTTATTCTCATTCTTTGAATGATTACTCTCTTTTTACTAGGGGTTCTTGGGCTTCCTTGGTGATTCTGGCTGTTTATATGGATGATATCATCCTTAAAGTGGATGATTTACATGAACTTTTTTCTTTAAAGGGGTTCTTATATGAGCAGTTCAGAATTAAGGATTTAGGGTCTCTTAACTATTTCCTTGGAATTGATTTCTTATTCTGATTCTGGAGTTCTTTTACATCAAAAGAAGTTCATTCATAACATGCTAGAATCATTTCAGTCTTCTTCTTGTATCCCTGTTTCTTGTCCCCTTGAGTTGAATGTCAAACTGAAAGCCAAGGTTGGTGACCCCCTGCCTAAGCCTGAAGATTACAGATGCCTGATTGGGAAGCTGAATTTTTTAACCCACACCAGACCTGATATCAACTTTGCAGTCCAGCATCTCAGTCATTTTTTGCAGTTTCCTTGTGTTCCCCATATGCAGGCTGCTCTTCATGTTTTGAGATATTTGAAAGGCACTTCTGATTATGGCATATTCTTCAATTCCTCTCCTGATTTGTCCTTGCAAGTATTTTGTGGCAGTGATTGGGCTTCTTGTGCTGATAGTAGGAGATCTGTTTCTGGGCTTTGTATTTTCCTTGGTGGGAGCCTTATCAGTTGGAAGTCCAAGAAGCAACATATTATTTCCCTTTCATCTGTTGAGGCTGAATACAAAGCAATGAGTAAGGCTGCTGCAGAGGTTACGTGGATCTCCAGATTGTTGGGAGATTTTGGTGTCTCTTGCTCTTCTCTTGTTCCTCTGTTCTGTGATAATCAAGCAGCTCTGCATATTGCTCGCAATCATGTATTTCATGAACGGAACAAACATATTGAACTTGATTGTCATTTTGTTAGACACAAGCTTGGTGAGGGCCTGCTGAGTTTACATCATGTTTCCAGCTCTTCTCAGATTGTTGATCTGCTCACAAAAGCCTTGTCTGGGCCTGCACACTATTTTCATCTTCGTAAGTTAGGGGTTTTGTCACCCTCCAACTTGAGGGGGCTGTTAGAATGGGCCCAATGGGTATAGGCTAATGTTAGACCCGTTATATTGGGCCATTTGTTGTAATTTATCTGGGTAGCCCAGTTTAGAGGTAATTACTTTCGAGGTCTTATAAATAGATTAGGCCTAGTTTTTGTACAAAATGATTTTTTCATTTCTCTGGCTGATACACAGAAATATCTCGAAGTTTCCTCTCAAACCAAAATGTGAACCCTAAATTTCATTCTTCCGATTTCACATAATTTCTATATGTTTACACACCTTTTGAATTGATGTTGGCGATTTACTATTCATTCATATGCTCAAGATTGCTATTACTACCTAGAATTTAACTACTTTCTTGGCTTTGATCTTTTTTATCTTGTTGTTATTCCTACTTGTTGCCATTACTTTTTTCCTCCGTTCCCCAACCGAGGGTCTTTCGAAAACATCTATGTCCTTCCAAGGTAGAGGTAAAGTTTCAAACATCTTACCTCCCCAAACCTCACTTGTGAAAAGTTACTGAGCTTGTTTCTAATGTCTGCTAAAATTAATGAATTATCTTGTTAGCACTTTGAAAGTTTCACTAGTGCCTAATGGAATACTAGAAGTGGCAATTTAGGAAATTCATGGATTATTATGTGGTAAGGGAAGGGGAAATGAATAATTTTGGAGGGAAGTGGAGACTAGATCTAATCGAATAACATTTTCAACGTCAACGTTTTTTCTTTCCTTATGTCTCGGTTTTCTTAGGAGTCGTTTTCAGTCGCAAAGTACGCCATCTTCTTTTCTTTTTCTCCATAAACTCCATCATATAACCGAAAATAAAATCTTAAAACGCACTATCGAAAGTTTTTGTAGCCTCAAATTTTAGGGCCTAAAGCAAAGGCTTTACTAGCCTCACCTTTTAGACGTCCCTTGAAACAGATAATTTTCAGGTCATTTTCTCCACAAAACCTTGCATGGTACACGACACAACTATAGTTAAAAATGAGATAGACTTGCCCAAACTAGGATGTCTTTAAGAATGAAAGCAATAAAAGTAAATAAGTGTTCATTTACAGCGGCTGGGTGAACATACCAAAAAAAAAAAACATTCAACAAGAATTTATCCAAAAGAATACCTGGAAAAATTACAACACTTGGGAACTGAAGAACCTTGGCTGACCCCAGAAAACCAGTAGAGGTAATATAGCGCATCTTTACATGGTTGTGAACACAAAATATCCTCAATTTGTTGCCTAACTGCAAAAAATGCCTCTTCTAAAAAGAATCTTACAAGGAAATATCAACACACTATGACACACAACAGAAACAATTATTTCATCTATCCTCCACTTGTGCACTTCAGCAACTAACTGCAAGGTAATAGATAAAAATCTAAGGGCAAGAGTAAATAAAAGAAACCAAAAACAGTCCAGATTGTATCCTCTTTGTGAAGTTTGTTTACACCACTGTGGTAACACCATCAGATTAATAGGAACCCATGGGTGGCATGCCAAATGGAGGCATGGGAGGCATTCCCATTCCACCCATTGGAGGTGGTTGGGGTGGAGCGAAACCTCCACCCATACCTGGCATCGGCGGAGCAGGCAAAGCCAGAGGCAGCAGCTGTGCATACATATTCTGCACCAAAAGAATGAATAGGATTAGCAAGGCAACTTTGAGACTGTAATAGCGCAAAAGAGACGGTCAATTTAACACAGATATGCATGTGATGTGGCACTTCTCAAAACATTATTAAAATACTGTGCAACTTTGGTCACCTCCAGGCTAAAAGCAAGGAAAATGTGTAATTACCTGCTGCTTAATAACATCCTTTTCTTCACTCTCTTTGGCTTTTGCTTCCTTTTGAGCCTCAATCTTATCTTTTATCAGCTCATCTACCTTGCCAGTGTATTCACGGATAAACTGTGCCAGAGAGAGAGAGACCCAAGTTAAAATGCGGATGCAGATAACAACAGACTACTGATAATTAAAAAAACTGAGGCAGACAGCAAAACTATGATGGGGAATAAAAAGAGAACGCAGAAGTTACAAATTAGAGAGCTATGAAAAACATGCAAAGTTTCAGGTACTTCCCCTCAAACATAATAATGACAAGGTAAAAGAGGAAGAACACAGCACAATAACAGAGGTTGATGAAAAAAATTATCATGTTCTAGTTACTGATTAAAAAAATTATTATCTTCAAAAGAAATGCAGAGGCAGATCAAGGGTTTAGGACACAGACTTGTCAAAACAGTGACAAATACTATTAATATGTTTACCAGAGGAAAGGACACAACAAATGCAGATTTCAGCTCTCCCTAAAAGTAGATAAGCAAACATGCAAATGCACGACCGAACAAACAGACAGATCTGGGGAGGGTTTCAGAGAGCACCTGTAATAGATACGGGAACGCGAAGTCAATCATATTATTCATCCATGCTAGCTCAAGGGCAACATCTGGGCGAATCAAATCATAACAAACAAATAGGCATGATGCAAAGCATTCTTTCTTTCCCTGCAAAAGCACAAAAAAGAATTAAGAAGAGTGAATTAGATATCTAGATCTTCTTTATTACAGGTTAGATGAGCATTAACCAATGCACAATTATTGCAATCCAAGTTACCCTACTCCTGGAGTAGCAATATCGTTTCCAAGAAAAATATGATACATTCTCCCTTAATTTTCCCAAATGATAAATACGAGAACTCTGCTATGTGATCCTCAGAAAGCATAAATACATAGAGGGTTGCAGTAAGCCAGTAAGTCTACAGCAAATGTGAATAAAGTCTAGTTGGATCCATATTGCCGATTCCAACTAGTTTGATATTAAGCATAATTGATTGAGTGATTACAAGCTAGACTCATTAACCAACCAAGTTACCTATACATTAGCAATAAAATTTCCAAATAACAAATGATCAAGATCTCCATGGGTACCAGAATATTTATCCCCACAACCACATCAAACCTTATGCAAGAATTCATGGTTTATAAACACTTACTACACACTGATGTGTTATTACATGCCAGAATCATCTGGTACCAATGCAAAAAAAATTACTTTCATTCTCTGTGGACTCTTTTCATCTCTTCCCTCCTGTTTCTCAACTAGTTGGGAAAGCTTAGCCCGTGTTGACACACTTATATTAGTTCTTGAAATTTCCAAAAGTCTTTTTAGTTTTTTAAAGATATATATATATATATGCAATTTTGAGAATATGTATGAGATGGAGAGAACCAGTAGTCAGATAACCTCTACTTTTTATCAGAAGACAAATTCTTGATTATCAAAATCGGGTCCAAATAGAGCTAAACAGATACCAAGGATTCATGTGACTAAGTCCAACTATTTTGGGATTGAGGCGTAGTTGGGGGCAGATGTGGAGGATATGCATGGGTGAATCTTGAAATCCTAACAACTGGTACCTGTTCAATGAAGTAAGCAAGCAACTCCTCAGCAAGTTCACGATCCCCAGATTGCGAGGCTGTTTCCATTGCGTCTTTGTAAAGGTTATCTTTCTTCGACAGAGCAATGGATTGCTTCCACCGACCAGCCTTTTTATATATAGAAGCAGCGACACGCCTCATCTCAAGAAGTTCATGTTTCTCTATCTGCTCAAGTGGAACACAAAAGTGGAACTATTATCAGGCATATGCTAATTACGGAGAAAGACAATTTAGTGCAACCAGCCATCACCTTCTGTGCAAGCCCAATCTGATCAAAGTTATCATGCAATTCAATTGATTCGCGTAGTCTATCGTAATCTTCTTCCTCAACATATATCTCGTTAAGGGCCTCATTCACAGCAGAAACATTGTTGCTTTGTACGGCAATCATATACGGCTTCACTAGGCGAAGGTGACCCGCCTGGTATCAATCATACGAAAAAGAAAAGAAAGGGTTAATAAGAATATATATCAAGAGTGTAATCCAAACAATCCTAGTTAGTAAAGGGTTTCAATGATAAGTCAGACCTTTCTCATTATATCCACTACACGTGTATGGTCCACCCTAAGTGCTAGAACATTTAAAAGATCATTGATGAGATCGGGATGCTCTTGCAAATAGAAGTGGACGGCCTTGTAATAAAGCTCCACATTAGCAACTTTCACAACAATATCTTTGAACTGCATATGATCCCAAGCATCTGGAGAATGATTCATAACAGTAGTGGCAGCGTTATCAAATTCATCATATTGGATATACAAATATGTGAGTTCCTTCCAGTGTTGCTGCTCATCACAGGCACGAATAAGCTTAGGAATGTTAAGACGGGTGGAGAATAATTTAATGTGTTCCATGAGCTTCTCATAACGGTATCTGGCGTAAAGGACACCAAGTTCTGTGAAGATACCCATATGGGCGCGCTCCAAACCGAGCCCACTCTCCATAAGAGAGATTAATTCATTGAAACATCCTCTGTTTTGGTAGTATTCACTCACTTCCTCCAAATCATCTACCTGCAAAATCAAAAACAGACTGCCTATCACCAGTAATCCAGAAGATCTCCTTCACAATTTAAATGAGCAAGTTCATCAGAAATACTGACAAGCACAATAAAAAAGAAATGCAAAAGGTACCTGAACTATAATGTTAAGCCCACAAATTTGAGCTAAGCGGAACTCCTCAGCATCAACACAAGCGAAACAGACTTCTTTCCAAGTCTTTGCACTGTTTGCTTTACGTGCTGCATCAACAGCACCTTGGAATTGATTCAACTTTAGAAGGGTGCTTGCCAACTTAGCCCAGTTTGAAATAAAAGCAAATATGATCTTTGCAGCCTCATATAAGGCTCCGTCATACAAGCGATCACCAACATTTGGTAGGTTAGCTACATTTGGCATCAGAATAAATTCTTCAATGTCACCCAATCGATCAATCTTAGCATAAGCATAAATGAGTTCACTATCAACCTTGGGCTCCTTAGTCTTTTGCCTTACCATCAGCAGATACTTCACTAAGTCATGATAAACATCTGCACCCTCTGCAGCATGAATGACATCCAAGAAATGGGTGACATCATCTGCACGAATAAATGATTCAATAGCATCACT